GGCCGGCAGCAGCCCTGGAGGACACGGCGCCTGCAGCCCCCGCCTGACACCTTGGAGATTTCCTCAGCCTGATCCAGACCAAGTCAGAATCCGCCGGCCCGCTCCACCGTGTGGGCGCCGAGACATAACCTGTGGCCTCTCCCCTTTCCCCGTCCACCTCTGTGCCCGTGCTTCTGCAGACCCGCCATGAACAAGGAAAGCTGGTTGATGGCTGTGTATCAAGCTATCGCATCACTCGTGAGAATGTTTTAAGAAGCCTCCCTGTGCATAGGGCCTACAGAAGGTCACCAGTAAGCACAGATTCTCGTAACGGTATTATATGCAGGGACCAGAGTGCTGACACACGGCTTCTCTCAGGTGCTGGAGTCTCAGGAGATGCTGAAGATGCCGAGGGAGGGTCATCTCACTCATGTACACAGTGGTGAGGAATGACTGAGCTCCTTCAGGGAAATGGAGAGTTAAAACCACAGTGGGGGGCTCCCCAAAACAAAGGTCTGTGCAGGCATGCATGGCTCTGTTTCACTGCCTATTATTTCGTGAGGGATTGTGTGTCTGCGACCTGGGTTAAAAATAACCCAGAAAGGTTAACTCGAAAGGTTGTTTTTAATGTAGTTCATTTCAGTGACTTGGTCTACAGTGTAGCCACAGAATCGGAATCAGAAGTGATGGCACTACTGAAAGGGTGGCAAGCACTACCAAAGGGGCAGAAAGGAACAACTGGAGGGACTGCAAACTAGACTGAAGACAATTTGTTGATAGTTTACGTTCTGCTTCTGGGATGTCAACAGCCACCTGAAATTTAAGGCAGCATAAATTGTATCTTGACAATTTGATCCTGCAGTCTCTTAGTACAGTTCTACCAAGCAGATACCCACAGAAATAAAGAATTTCAGATTCCACAGCAAGTAATGAGGGAGCTCTGACTACAGCTTGCACTATTTGTCCTCTACTGACCAGAGGAACTCGAGTGACAGAAGTTCAAAACACGACCCTCCAGTGTTACTGTTCTGTTTGTAAAAGCAGTGAATGTCCACTAAGGAAAACAGTAGCCAACCGGATCTGTACGGATTCCAAATCTTCAGACCTTTAGCAGCAGTCCCTCTGGGTAACTTACCAACACAGAGGAAACTTCACACCAGTGCAAAGCCTAGCAGAAAGTGGGGAATCGGCCAAAACTTGCATTCCTGTCTCCAGTGAAAAAATGCTCCCTAGTCAACAAAGAAAAAAGACTACAAGTACTTAAATAAGAAAATGCAAAGAGTTAACTACTCTAAAGGAGTTGTACTAAGGTTCACTTTGATACACCAGTGCAAATATGATTTGCTGGCTTCTTGTTTAAATGAGATGCAGTGCAGAAAAGAGAAAATAAACATAAAGGTCATGAACATGTGTTGATATCTTTAGATGGACTAATCCTGTGGAAGGGGACTTGCTTGCTGTGCCTAGGAATGAGGTCAGGGACTCTGGGCAATTCAATTAGTCGGTCCATGCTTCAGTGTCCTCTTTGTCAAATACAGAGAAAGGAATCGATATTTCCTTATTGTGCAGAATCATTGTAAAGTTGCCTTTGTGTGTGCCACGTGGAACAAAATAAATAAAGGACTCACAAAAAAGAACAAGCATCTGAATAATGGAAAATCAGACTGAAAGATACTGAGTACCGGCTTCTCCTGTTCATACGGCAACTGTCAAGCAGAAGGGTGTACCTTTGGGAGAAGGGGAGGGATGCAAGAAACACGATGTTCCCTAGGGTTTTTAGGAGCAGCTGACTTGCGACAGGCCTCCCAAGGGGTTATAGAGCAGAAAGGAAGGAGCAAAGGAGGAAAACAGAGAGGTGTCAATCAGGACCAGCAAGTACCTGACCCTTAGGGATAATTACTCACTTCCCACTTCTTCTGGTGGAGCTGCCTGGTCAATACCAGTTGAATGAGAGAGGCAGATCTAGGAACAACACTGAGTCCAGATTTGAAAGAAAGTGCATCTAAATCTCCTTTATCTGACCATGTTTTTATCTGAGACCCAGGCCCCAGCTAAGCAACTGTAATCTTCTCGTGAATCAAGACCAGCAAACTGAGTTTAGAAACCTAAATGTAAAGGCTGATCACACCCAGGATTTTGACTAAAGCAAAAGCTGAGAAAAATCTTAAGTGTGACCATAGAAATGAGCAACTTCTACTGCTTTTTTTTTCAAAAGTAGGCTCTTTTTCTAGAGGTTTGCTTCAGGAAGAGAGCAGGTTGGTTTGTTGGAGTGCAAGTGAAATACTTGTTCATGAAAAATGTCTGTGCTGACTCCACTGAGAAGAAATAGAATTGGTGCCAACCACACTTCCTTTGGAAGCCTGTTAGGAATTCAGCTAAAACCAAGCAAAGCAGCTGGCTGTTGCACAGCAGCAAGGACAAAGTCTTGCACTGAACTGAACCTGTAATCTTAAAAGGTAAATTCTGATCTTGTTACCCCCTTGCTCAAGCCATCCTGGCACTGCAAGATACCTCCATCGCTATTTTATAAACCATTGGAGGTTTACATGTGTCCATTCATGCTCTACTGTAAGAACCAGGAGGCCAAGAAGTTGACTGAATCCAGACACATATTCACATACCCTCACAAAGAGCAACAACATGGGCAGGAAGAATAATACCAACTGAGGACAAGAGAGGAGACACCTACATTGGGATAAGGAGGTGGAAAAGCTGTGCAGTGCATAGTCAAGATGCAGGAAGGGGAGAGGAGGATTGGATGAAATGGGGGAAGAGAGCATTTTACAAAGCAGGCCAAGGCTGGGCACTGCCAGGCACAGCGTGCACCAGCAGAGAGAAGGACAGAGGAGCACGTTCAGTTTGGCAAGTCTTCCAGCTGTTCCCTGTCTCCCTCAGTCTATGCTTACAACTCAGATATATTTGGCACTGGCTGGATAGGAGGGTGCTACGGGGATGGCAGCTCTTTCACATAACTTGCCCCCGAGCTTCCTCTTCTCTGTGCCAAGGAGAAGGCAGACAAAGCTTTGGCTGCTTGCTTTACAGAACTAGTCTGACAGCAGGGCAAAAGGAAGCTGCAGAGAGCCCATCGTGCTTGCAAAACCTCCAGCAGGAGGAGTTTTAGATGGTTCAAAGAGAGCATTCAAACAAAACCCTCCTACAGCCTAAAATTCAGCTCATGTTAATTGAGCACTAACTGCAAGCCTTCAAGAAAAAAGAATCCTTCCCTCCATTCAGCACTGCTCTGAACATAGCAGAGACCAGAGCAATATTTACAAATATGTATCCAAGATGTGTGGTTTCACGGTCTTTAACTATTGCTTTAAAGGTAGTAGGTAAGATTAGCTTTTGGTTGCAGACACCACTTAGAAGCGGGAGATTGTAGCAGCCTTTGGGCTAAATTTTGATACCCTAACATTGAATAATAGGCTGCTCTTGTTCTTCTTGGTAGTAAGTTTCAAATCAATTTGCAAAGGAGCTCAAATCTTTTGTGTTACAAAGAGACTTAGGCATGGGTGGTGACATGAAGTGGAACCAGGAGCTGAATCAGGTCTCTTGTACCTGAATCCCTTGCCCTAATAAACACAGGTATTTTAAAGCATATCAAGAACCAAGGGCATTATGCAGAACAGAACCAAGCCCACCTCATGGCTCACGGCCACTGACCTGCCCTCGCTTGCTTGCTGTTACTCAGCTGGTGGCTCTGGGGCTCATTGGAGTTTAACTTGACAAAGAAAGCAGAACATTTTTCTGCTGAGTTAGTGAGCTGAATAGGTTCAGTGAAGTGTTCAATGAGCACCAGAGCCAGCTCAAGAGACTGGGCCACTTATGGCTGGGAACAGTAACAGCTGAGACAGGAACAGCCCCACCTTTCAAGGCAGAAAATTCATATATGAGCTTGACAGCCTTGTCAAACCACACACAGAGTCTTGCAATCTTCCCTTTCCAACTTCAGATACCAGGTTCAATGATGTGAGCCACTGTAAAGGGTTCCAGTCAGAAGTGGGACACTACTGAAGACTAGTGAACAAAGGCTGATCTGCACTGTTTGGGTTAGCAGAAAGAGACTAGAAATCAAGCCCTCTTGGAAAGTAGGAATTCCAGGGGCATCAGTCCAGGTGGAAAAATTGGAAAATACATATTTTAGTATAGTTTAGGTCATTCCCAAGAAGCTGCTTTTCTGATACATCTTATTCGCTACAAGCCAATCATCCCAGTTACTCCTGTTACTGCTGGATGGGAATGGTCTGTGGCAAGGAGGCTTTACAGGTTGCAGTTGATTCATTTAATTACAGATATAGATATTTTCCACCTCTAATTCAAATGCTGTCCAAGCACACAAGTACAGTTTGCCTGTTTAAAAGCAGTCCATTTGACCTAGATAACTGCTGTTCCCTCTCAAGACAAAATCCCTCCTCACATTCTTTTTAAAGTTCTTTCATGTTGCAGGCGCCATGCAACACCCAGAGTTACAAAAGTTTTAGCAACATTATGTTAAACAAGGACTGTAAAACCTTTCATACTTCACACTGAGGAACAAAAATGAAAACAACTGACCCTGAGACATTCTAGGACTTAATAGAGAAAGAAGTGTCTTCTACCCAGGCTTTGGAAAATCACATTTACAGAACAACCAGCTCAGAACTTACCTCTATGTGATGCTTGATTTAAAAAGATGCCTAGAAGAGGTCCTGTACAATAATGCTAGGCACTGGAAGATTTACACAGAATTTAAATAGAGTTATTACCAGCATTCAGAGAAAATCACTGTTCCATTACTTTCCGTTTTCCCTCAAATCAGTACTTTCCAGCCACTGCCAGTCCACTGTGTTGCTTTAGGAGTATCTTTCAACTAAGTTCTCAGTGGAGCATCTGATATTTTTCCAAGAAAAGCTTTTGAGACGCTGAACGAACAGTCCTTTCAGTACAATCCCTGTGCCCAACAACTTTCTACATAAAAGCCCTCATTATGAATTTTGAGTCAGTGGAGTTTTCTCAGTCAGTGTGTGTTGCTGATCAGGCTTTCTTGACCTAGAATTGGTATTTCCCATACAGTCTGCATGAAGCCCTGAAGCACATTCAAACGCTGTGCAGGCTAATGACTACAAAAGAAAAAAACAACCAAAAGAAAATTACATCAAAAAATTTGATTCAGAATTGGCAACTCTGTAACCTCTCCCTTAGCTGCCATCTCATTAACATATTTGTTCAAAAGCCTTTTCTCTGCTTCATTACATAATTTGTGTTACAAAATCCAGATAAACACTCATTATTTCCCGGTCTAAATTATGGCTTATTTGGCTTCCTTTTTCTTCTTCTTTTTTTATTTTTCCCAGGGAAAAATGGGGGACAGAAGGGGCTTGTTCGGACGGGAAATTTCTGAGTAACATCTGGGACATCTGCTGTGTGTGGCATTACAATACTTTATGCAAATACTAGTGAATGATTCTTCCCAATACCTCTGCAAAGTAGAAGAATTAATATTATTGTCCCCATCTTTACAGACTAAGAAGGTCAGTTCGTGTTTTCTACATCCACCCTGGGCAGGGTCTACAACATCAGAGAAGAGCTGCTGGTGCCATACTGCTCTAAGGGATCAGTTGTAGGAGCAGCTACAAGAAATCCTAGGCCTTCCATCAGAAAATCCTGAAGATATTGGCATTGAAATGAAAGCGTGAAGTTCTGTTCCTTTTTCTCTCTAACTCACATTTCTTCTAAGGTTCCCTATGCAAAATGTAGAGCTGTGTGACCCCGGCTGAGGTCCAGTGACAGGCAGGACCTGCTGCCCTGGGGGCCTCTGGTGCTGTCGGTCAGTGCCAACCATGACAGGGCATCATCAGGGAGAAAGGGCGAAATTTCGCCTTGCACATTCCCTGAACTGGTCCGAGGGTCAGTGGGGAAGCAGTGGGGCCTGGGAGCCTGCTGGGGCGAGGCTGAGCAGCCACGTTGTGGGGCTTGCTGCAGTGAGGCTGGAGACCAATGCTGCGTTCCTCCCCCATGGTGACGGTGAGCAAATACCTCCTCTCCACTAGCTGGCTGGTTTTGGCTGAGTGGGGCAGCATCACCCCGGGGAGGCCAAGGGGCGTTTGTGAGGCTGGGTACGGCCGTGACCAGCGCTCCAGGGGTGGAGGGGGCTGGAGCGTGCCCCTGCCCGCCCTGCGCACCGCAGACCAGCCCTGCGGCCTGGCAGCCCGGGCGGGATGAGAGAACAATGGCTGTGGTGACGCCGGCCAGGCAAGGGCTGCGGCCGAGC